ACCGCAAACTCTCCTCAGCCGTAAACGAGTTTCGGACCGCAAACTCTCCTCGGCCATAAACGCTTCGGAAACCGTAGCTGCTGACCGCAAACGCTGCCACCCCCTCGCTGGTTACGACCAAAAACAACATTTTTCACCTTTTTAGCTCCAAAACTCGATCAAAAAGCCATTTTTATGAAAAACTCGAAGAACAAACCCCCAATATTTTGTCAAAAACTATCCAAAAACGCAATATCCATCAAGAAAAAGTGCAAAAACGCTACAGATCTTGCCAAAATGATTGATACAATCCAAGCTCTGATACCAACTGTAAGTCCCAAATTTTGCTTGATGTATCAATCAGATCCACTTGATGGTGCGGAATCCCAATCAAGTGGATGATGCAAGATCAAATATGGAAGAAGAAGAAGAAGAAGAAGATGAATCTATGATGTATTTAATAATAAGATTGATGCTCCATACAAGATTCACACACACACACACACTCTTCTTCTCTCTCACTTTCTCTTTCTAGAACACCTTGATTTACACACACTTACCCCCTATCCCTCCTTCTCTTATGACTCTACTGACACTATATATATAGGGAACAGTGGCTGCAAACACGTTTACATCCGCAAACGAGTTTGCAGCCGCAAACACACCCAACCGCAAACACCACATGAACCGTAAACCCAAGGCTGTTTCGGTTCTAGACCAAAAACTATTAAAGCCTAGAAAAGTAAAGTATAAACCATATTTTTTAGACCCAACAGCGATTGTGCCCTTAGAGGATATTCAGGTTGACGACACCCTGAACTACATCGAGAGACCGGTGGCAATTCTGGATCGCAAGACGAAAACCTTGAGGAACAAGGTTGTTCAGTTAGTAAAGGTGCAGTGGCAGCACTGCAAGGGTTCAGAGTGGGTATGGGAGATCGAGGAGGATATGAGGGAGCACTACCCGAAGTTGTTTTCAGATGCATCATACTTCGAGGACGAAGTCTAAGATAAGTGGGAGAGAATTGTAACGCTCGGGCTCTGGTACACATTTATTTACAAATTAGTCATGTTTAAAAAGCTACTCGACGAGTTGGAAGCCCCAGACTCGCCGAGTAGAAGTTAGTCTTGGACGAGTCAAGAGCCCTCGACTCGTCGAGTAGAAGTTAGTCTTGGATCTCAGCCACCTACTCAACGAGTCAAGAGCCCTCGACTTGGCAAGTAGGTCTGTAAGAGTGAAACCCTAATTTCAGGGTTTTACACCCTATTGAAGCATCTTAATCACCACCCCTTGGCCTCATTTACAGCCTCCTTGTCCCAAACCCTAACCCACGAAACCCTAGAGCTTTATTTGAGTGTGTGAGTTATTTTGAGTAATCTTGGTGTGCTTTCAAGCTTGTGGAAGAGGAAGAAGATAGAGGGCTCAAGAGGGAAGGAGTAGATCCAGAAGCTACACTCCATTTGCTATATTTTCTGGTAATCAAGTTTCCATCTTGGCTATTAGTTCCTTATATCTATTTACTTCCATTTTGTGAGGGTTTTGGTGCAAGAACCTTGGTATTTGGGATTTGGACGTCCCAAGTGACTTATATCTCAGATCTGGGATCTAGGAGGGGTTCCATGGCATAAAGGTGCAAACTTTATGATCATGGAAGCCCTATGCAAGCTTATAAGCATTTATATGGCCTTTTTATCCCTAAGAGGCCATGCTTGGATTGAAAGCTAGGAACTTTACGTATCCAACTGATGTTCAAAGCCTAGATCTAGTATAGTGTGCCTTGGTTTAGGGTATTATGGATTGTGGACCAATATATATGTTCTAGAGAGTTAGGGTTTGAGCAACACCCATTAAGAAGGACTAAGAGCGGGTAAAGTTGGAAACTTTACCCTTAAAAGTGTATTCCCAGTGTATAGGTGAAGTATGGAGTTTAGATCTGAAGGGTATGACCTTAATCCATTGAGATGGTTCAATCAGACAGAGGAACTCGACGAGTCCATATAGGGACTCGACGAGTTGAATTAGTTTGTCCCGTTTTAGCTTCATGTAGAACTCGCCGAGTCGGTGAAGGGACTCGACGAGTTAAATCGGTAGATCGTGATTGTGAGTAGCCTGGGAACTCGACGAGTCAAGGGGAGACTCGACGAGTTAGATCGTGATTTCAGGTTCTAGGACTCGACGAGTTGATGGAGCAACTCGACGAGTTGGGTTAACCAGAAAGTTGACCTTGACCCAAGCGTTGACTTTGACCAGCGGTAAAATGGTCATTTTACCCTAAGAAGGATTATCAGATTTTGATTAAGTGTTATTATGAAATTGATAGCCGGGGATTCGTCGGAGCAGCAGTCAGAGATTCCTCACTCGAGATTTCAGCAGTCAGCCTTACGAGGTGAGTTTCTTCAGTAGGAACGGGTCTACGGCACCAAGGTCGGCCCGTATATATGATACGTTAGTAGCTGAGTGTGGGCGGGGCCCGAATCTCATAGTAGCCGAGTGTGGGCGGTGCCCGAATCTCGTAGTATTAGTTAAGTATAGATATGTGACTGCTCGATAGGAATAGATATACTTGTTGTCTGTGTGATACTTGTATGCATGTTAGACAGCGGAGTGTGGGCGGGGCCCGAATCTCCTAGACAGCGGAGTGTGGGAGGGGCCCGAAGCTCCTAAACAGCGGGGTGTGGGCGGGGCCCGAATCTCCTAGACAGCGGAGTGTGGGCAGGGCCCGAATCTCCATGAGAGTGGGCGGGGCCCGTATCTCATAGTTGTATGTTATGTGTATGGTATGTGGTAGTTGAGGAGACTCACTAAGCTTCGTGCTTATAGTTTTCAGTTTTCGTTTCAGGTACTTCCGGTAGCAAAGGGAAGAGCTCGGGATGATTGCAGTGCACACACCATTTGTTCAGCCTGGGATATTTTATGCTCTGATATTTTGATATACATTGATATGATGTTTGAGATATTATGACATGTGTTTTGGATAACTATGGTTTTAGTAATAATTAAAAACGAAATTTTTGGTTTGTATTTTTGGGATGTTTCATGCTTATTATATGCTTAGATCTCCTTGTTAGGGCTAGTTTCTATAGTTTAGCCAAGTTTGAGTGGTTGATGGGGGTGTTGGTCGTCCCAAAGGAGTTATTCTTCCAGATCCTTGGTTCTTGGGAGCTCTTGTGGCATAAAGGTGCCAACTTTATGGTCTTAAGGGCTCCATGCATCCATTAAGCCCTTCTTTTGGTCTCTTTTGAGCTTTTGAGCTTCTTCTAGCCTTGCATGAGAGTAAAGTTGGAACCTTTACATGACCTTTCAGCCTCTAAGGTCCAGATCTGCATCCATGAGCTTATTCTTGATGATTTGGTGATTACTGATTAAGCCCTAAACCTCTTAAGCTTAGGGTTTAGGTTTTTGACCCATTAGAATGGTTCTTAAGGGTAAAGTTGGAAACTTTACCCTTCCAGGCGTTATTTCAGTTGAGATCTGAGTGGTGGAAACTTTGGTTTCGGTAATGGCGGCTTAATAGATTAAGAGGTTTTGCTGACTGAAGAACTCGGCGAGTTGGAATGATTTTTCCCGATTCTACTGTCTAAAGAGGAAACTCGGTGAGTTCATGGGTGAACTCGGCTAGTTGGATTGACTTTTTCGCGATTCTGTTGATTATTAGGGGAACTTGGCGAGTTGAGGGACAACTCGGCGAGTTGAGTCAACTTGGAGCGTTGACTTTGACTTTTGACTTATGCCTTTGACCAAGTTTGTCCCAAGGGGTGTTTGAGATAATATGAATTGTATTCAAGGAAAATATGGGCTTAGGATAAGACCCATATGGGATTGGGCCCAATTTGGAAACTTGGGCCATTAGTGGGCCTTTGTGGATCTTTTGGTTTTCGGCCTTTTTTGTTATGGGAATTGAGCCTCAGTTTTGGTCCTTGTTTGGGGTCAGGGGTAAAATGGTCATTTTACCCTAGGTATGGTTAGTAGGCATGATATTGGAATCCAATTGTTTATTTGATGTTATTTTGATCTGATAGATCGGAGGCGTCGTCAGGGCAGCAGTTAGGGATTTATTTCAGGGATCTTCTGCATTCGAGGTAAGTCTCCTCACTTTCTACGGGTTGAAGGCACCAATGCCAGCCCATTTGGTTTATGTATTATAGGAAGACCCTGGGGGTGACCCTTGGCATTTTGTATGAAAGACCAGGGGGCGGCTCCTGGCAATCTGTATGCAAGACCAGAGTCTGAACTCTGGCAGTTATTAGTTAAGTAGCCGTAGATTGTCTGCTAGTTGTCTTTGTGATGCTTGCATGGAAGACCATGAGGTGGCTCCTAGCACTTGTCTGTAAGACCCAGGGTTTTGGTCCCCGACCTGGAAAGAAAGACCACGAGGCGGCTCGTGGCATAATGGCAAGACTATGGTTGGCACATAACACTCTTATTGATTATGATATATGGATGACATATATGGTTCGCGATTATGTATGGCATGTATGGCTCGTTTGATATGTATGGTATGTGGTATTTGGGGAACTCACCAAGCTTTGTGCTTACGGTTTTCAGTTTATGTTTCAGGTACTCCAGTTTTCAAATGAGAGAGCTCGGGACGATCGCAGCTCATACACCTATGTTTTCCGCATTATGTGGTTTCTGGGAATGAACTCTGATAATTGTTTTATTCGAAATGCTTTTCAATGTTTGATCAAAAGTTATATTAGTGTTTGGACTATAATAAAAATGAAATTTTTATCCTTGATTTTTGGGTCGTTACACTGGTTGTAGAAGAACACCACCAAAATAGAAATTTCCACCATCTATCATTGCGTTTGATCTCTAATTTCTCGGGTTCATTAGTCTTCACAAGAGAAACAAAGAGAGAATGAGAGACATAGAAGCTATCGACCAATCAATCGACCGACCAACAAAGACGAAGATCGGAGATGATATAGTCAAATAGTTTATCTGATTGATCAAATTGAGGGCCATTTTTTTCATATTGATACTTTGTTTCATCCTCCGTTTCGTTTCCTGATTTCCTATGCCTCATCTTGAAGGATCGCTGGAGCAGTCTTTCAACCTGTGGGAAACCCCCCCCCCCCCCCACACACACACACATCGCCTCCATCCATTGCCATCGACAACCCACACCGTCGCACCACCAACAACATCTGCGTCGGTATGCATTGTTGGTTCTTACTGCTTCCCTATCGAACTCGTCCACTCACTATGTAGGTCGTTCTTTAAGGGTGTTTGAGATTTCATTTTGAAACTCAAAATGACTTTTAGGTAAAAAGGACTTATTGACTTATGGTTGTAGGAAAATGAGTTTTTAAGAAAGTGTTTGAATTAATTTTTGTGGTGGAAAAAGTCAATAAGTCAATAAATTATTTTTTTAAAAAGTATTTGTCTTTAACTTATACATCTTTTAAGGAATATTTTAACTTTTACAACCCAAAAAGTTATAAGGAGTTTTGAAAATTTAGAAATCCTAACTTATTGAAGTATTATTTTTAAATGGTTGATGAAAATTTATTTTAAAAGTCTTTCTCATATTGTCAAACATTTTTTTGACTTATTAGCTTTTCTAAAAACCATTAAATGAATAAATTATTTTTAAATGAAATCTCAAACACTTTTTTTGAATATACCTGGTGATCTTGATTTCATTGTCATTTTATTAAATAAAGTTAGTGGTAATTAATGTTTTTTTTAATATGTATGTTTTTTGTATGTGGACAATAATATTGGGACGGAGGAATTATATAATAACAAAAAATAATAAAAATAATAATACTCAATTGTATCTGCAACTCACAAAAACAATCCCTTAACTTTCCTCTCCTATTCATAAATTACCATTCAATTTTTCATTCAAATTATATTTAACCTTCACATATATTAAATATTTTTTTCTTCAAATCATTTATACATGGTTACATTTTTAGAACTTCATGTTTCTTTCTCTATCTCGAAGTTATCCTTTCTTCTTAATTTATTCGAATATCCTTTCTTCTTAATTTATTTGAATATCCTTTCTTCTTAATTTATATAAGATCGTTCCACCATTTTTGTAACCTAGCTATTACATAGAGCTTATTTCTATAAATATATGTTAATGGACTATGTCTATAATTTGACTATTATACAAGGATCCATAGGCGGACCACTATGAAGCCCGACTACCCTTCAAATTTCGTTGTTAAGTGTAATTTTTATTGTAAACTTTTTTTTATATGTCGGTGCTAATGTGCTATCCTTAACTTCTAAATCTAAAAAAAAAAACAGCAAAGAAGCCCAAAATATTAAATTTAACGCAACCCAAAATGTTTAGGTAGTCCAAAAATATTAAGCCCATTAAATACCCAATTATTGTAATAAAAAATAGCTAGAAGCCCACATTTTCATTCTGGCCAAAATCGGAAGAAGGAAACAGAAAAACCGAAGCCCCATGCCTCCCCTGTTTATGCCTCGTGTTGCCAATTTGCTGTGATGTTGCAGTTGCTGCCTTAGTCTTGCTGTCGGCGACGTCCTTCACTCTGGCAACCTCCTCTCCGGCCGGTAACCCCACATCCTAATAAAACAAGTAAGAAAATCTCAAATACTCAATCCCATTACTTATGAGTTATGATTAGTTTATTAGGGACTTAGGGTTAATGTCTCAATTATTTGTTTTAAGATTTAGCATTTGATACCCATAAAACCCGTAGATATTCGTGGTTATGATTAATTTTTGCCAAGCCTGCTCAAAAGCTCTTGGTCACTCTTCCATCAAGTATTGTTTGATTTGTATCACTTTGCACTATATCAACAAATTTATCTGGAAATGATTGGACATTTCAAGACAAGCTAGTTGAAGGAGTAATAATGGGCCTAATTACATACGACATCACCTTTAAATCATCACCTTTAAATCATCCCGTAAATCCCAGTTTTCTCAATTGATACTAGAATTTTCATCACACCACCTAAAGGACTTGTTGGACGATCTTTCGCCGATTTTTGCTCAAACTAATTCGGGTTCCCAGGGAAGCAAAGTTGTTAGAAAAGGAAAAGGTGGCTTTAGGCTCCAATAGATTTTGATTACAATGATATTCCTAGTCAGGAATGAAAATAGGACCAAAGGGTTGAGGGCGTCTCCATCACGAGGAGGACTGGCAACAGTAAGTTGATCTGAGTAGTATGGAAATTTACTTACACTAATACCGATGGAGAACGAGACCGCTTCATCAAATGACTCCATCTTCCCCTCATCACCAGAGAGAGCGGATGCAAAGCCAGCAGAAGCTGCAGCCCCCAGTAGCTCTTCCGCTGAATCAACGACGTATCATCATCATTATCATCTTCACCACCATCAACAACTGTCACTACCGCTTTCTCAATGAAATCACCACCACTGCCATTCGAGTAATATGCATCATGCACACTCATGAAATAAAATGATTCCTCATCATCATACCCGTCCTCTTCATTCCCCTCTTCACTATTATACTCAATACAATCATCAATCGGCTCCAAAAAGTCGTTGGAAACAATGTCCCCGACATGTGATTTGCCCTAAATAAAATCACTTAAAAGAAATGGGGCCCTAATCCCATATGTGGAATAAAAATAAGCATATCAAAGAAACCCTAGAAATTGAAATAGGGTAGGAATGATACCCATACGATTCCAGTATGGACTCATAACGGCTTGAGCCAACACTGCCTCCGAAATGTTTTTCATTGAAACGCGTGGCAATGAAAATTTTGAAATATCGCCAACAAGGTCGCGAGTGTAGTCAGGCTTGTCATCCTCAATGGTTCCTTGGGCACAAAAAGTATTTCGAAAAGGGAATCAGGAATCATTAAGCCAAATAAACTCATTCTTCCACCCCTTGATGGAATCAGGAAGCGTTAATCCAAAGAAATGTAATCTTCCATCCCTTGGTGGAATGGGAAGGACGTCTATGAATATTTTTCCGCGGGACCAAAAGTAGAACCAAGCGTTGCTACTACATATGTGAAAAAGTTAATGGAAAAAATCAATAGTCGGTACCACCAAGGCAACATCACACAACAACTCGAAGTATATGAGTTTTAAGATAAAGTTCGGTTTTAACTGACACATATGAGTGTCATAAGCTTCAATAACTTCACCAAAAAATGCCGACGGAAGTTCCCACAAACCTCCCTTAAAAAAATAAACATAAAACCATATCTTGGTCGGAGGAGGGTGATCAACAATGGAGTTAGGAGAAGGAATTTCAGCACCATCTTCCTACACTAAGTGGTATTTCTCTATAACTTTAATAAAATGGTCTGCATAAATTGTTGAATGAATGACGGGCATAGAAAGACACGACACCATCTTATGAGAAGAAGGTAACACGAGAAGGAACACAGAGTAGAAGAAAGTAAAAGATATCTGATTGGAAAGATATTAATGGAGAACAAAATGGAGGGAGTATACCCTCCATAATAAAATTGGCGTTAACCGCTAGTGCTCAAATGTGTGCACTCAAGCGCATGTAAACCAGGTCCGACGGTTCATTTCATGCTGATCCACTTAAACTAAATTATTGAAGCTCGATGAAATCCAGCCTTCAACAATTGGATTGGGGGACTTAATGGTGTGCGTTGTTAACCAATACACATAAACGTGCGGCGTGCCGACTTAACATGAAACTCCCCGGCCGGAATACCAACATCAATAAGGATGAAACGTTTAAACCAACCCATTTTGCATCTATCTAAAAAACTAACTCCATCAGACACGTCCCATTAAAATATACCCTGGTAATACTAAACCAATATCCCAGAAGTCTGGGAAAAACTTTATTCTATTATAAGGGTACTACCCTTATTACCATGAGACAATACAATCACCTGGGCAAGACAAATGACTGAGGGTCTTTCCTGGTATTTTAAATACCTCGATCAGCCATGACAAAAGGTGGTTTCAAAAAACAATATTGTAATTTACTATATATTTAGCCATATTAATTTATAATAATATCTAATTCTAACTTAGGCTTCGTAGAGCATTACCAGAGTCTCATTTGGTAATGTTCTTAACATAGCTTTCCCTTTATTTACAAACGCTATTCACTACCCCGATTTTTGGAAAAGCTTTTCTTTCTTTATTTTACAAATGCGATTCACGAGTCTGCATATTTGGTATTGAAAGACCACTGAAGTTGTGACAATAAGTTAGTAATATTATATTCCAACAAAAGCAAAAGTTATATTAAGTTAAAGCATATTGACATGAACTTTTTGTCCATTTAGATAAGAGTGCACATGATGTGTGTGTATATATATATATATATATATATATATATATATATATATATATATATCTTTATACATTAATAAGCATTTACCTATAAATGCTGAATTTTAAGAGGTACATCCCTTAAAACATCATTTACAATAACTTTATGCATTAGAAAATAAAGTAATCCGGTCAAACTGAAAAGGTCAAAGCTAAGCGGTCTCAAGCTGAACAAACTCTTCCAAAACAAACTCTTCCAAAACACGAATCAGTCAAATTAAATGGGTATTTCCTCACATTCAGCCGATCGAATCGGTCAACAGGAGATACACTCTATATATCATCTCCTCTCTTATTTCAGTCAACACAATGTTTCCTTCAACCACTCACCATCGCCATCTCTCTCTAAAAACATGCTCCCCTTCTTCCCTCTCTTAAAATCAGAAAACCTAGATGCCCTCTTCAACCTCCGTCCTCTGGGTAATATATTTCACAGTCGTTGTGTTGCCTTCAAAACCACTGATTTTGTGTTGCCTTCAATCTGCAGATGGTTTCGATATGAGGTTAGATCGAAGCCCTAGAAGCTCTCAACCGCCTGTTGCTTCGTCCGTTGCTGCTGTTGCTACGATTGCCACTAATCAAAAATTGTATTGCTTTTCCCCTTAAATCCGGGCATATCTCCTTTAAGTGTTTTTTAATGAAGATGTAGTCGGTGATTTTGCCAGGAAACTATCCCTTATCGATCTTAGTGGGATCACTCTCAACGGGGTTGAAGATGAAGAGTTCAATCAAGCCACCTTCGCCACCGTTCACCGTAACTACTAAAACTTGAGGATGAAGAATCCAATCACAGACAATTTTTTTCTACTATGGACTTCTATTTCAGGTAAATCGAGGAATGTTAGTTTGTTTCTTTTTCTTCTGTTTCGATCCATGATATATGCTTTGACTTTTTACAAAGTATTTCTTCTATTTCGATCCATGAGAAATTCCCAATTATTTGTTGTTTTTTAAATGAATTTTTTTTTTCAGGAAATCTAACATCGATTATTTACTATCTTCTTCTTTTTTCCTAAAATTTTAGGAATGGGATGTATGTTCGAGCTAATGGCCAATTGAAAGGATTTCAGTTGTAAGTAGTGTTTGAAAAGCCTCAATTTCATACAATAGTGCAACACACTTAAAACTTGATTGCATTGACATCTATTCTTGTAATATATGCAGCTATAGCAAATGTTCTTCTATTCTATGAGATTCTGAAGTGAATTGGAATGCAAACTAAAAAAGTAAGAATCTCGATTGCACACTCATTTGTTTACAATATATATTCACTCTTAATTTTTATTTGGTGCCGAAACAGTGGTTTTTATATCAACTGTTGCTCATGATTTTTGAGATAATGAAACAGTAGTTATATGTATGTATGTATGTATCCATGTATGTAGGTTTGTGTATCTGTCTGAGTATTTGTGTGTGTATTGTGTGTATTTGTCTATTTTTGTGCTTACGTGGGTGAAAAGTCTTTTATTGAGAGGAAAATTTAATGATGAATTTGTTTTTTGTAAACTTGTTGGGACAACTATTTCAAATCCACAATAAAAAGATTAATGGATGAGAGAATTCTTAGTGTGAAGATGGCAACTTTTCCTTTTCTATGCTTAAACATTGTTTTGTTCCTGGTTCCCTTATTTACAGCTCTGTACAACTTGTGATGGCTAAGGAACAAGTGTATTCAAGGGGTTAGATCTCAAGACCAAACCTCTAAGCTGTAAGAGAGCAACTCCAAGGGAATAGGAGCACCAGGGCAAAAAACGTCAGAACAGAAGAGACCTTAGCAAAAGACAACCAACTAATAGGAGAAACAAACAAAAAGGTAAACACAATATATGTGTATATTTATGTATGTAAGTGTGGAAATTTTTTGTGTGTATCTGGGTGTATACGTGATTGTGTAGTTTTGTTAATCAAATGATTTGTTTTATGGTTTGATTGCAAGTGTGAAACAGAAATCTTGAACTCAAAGGTGGTTGTATTTGTCGTACTCGGATAAATAGATGTGGGTTCTTGACTCTTTGGATATGTGTCTACAAAGGGTGCTGATTTCTTTGGATGTTCGCTGGTGCATGCCTATTTTTCTATCAAATTGACAATATTACCCTTGTTGATGTAGAGAAGAGTCTTGGGTACAGAGTTGGTTCTTGATTCTAAATTTTGGGAGTTGGTCATTAAGGATTCATCACATGGAATATTCAATAGGTAATTCATCTTATAGATCTCTTTTTCCTGGAAATGGACTATTTTGCCCTTGAGTATTGTTCAGTACAAATGGTGTTTATTTTCGTTGTTGAAGCTATATTTAATTGGATGTGGATTTCCTCTTAGCGATGTTAACTCCTCATGGTGTCTCATATTTTTTATTTTAGTGACCTTTTTGCCCCTGAGGACAGACATTTCTAATTTTTGGTTGTTGTGGTTGTTTTTTCTCTATCACTCCTTTGGTGGTGCCCTTGTTGCTGTCTGTACTGTAACCTATTTTCCCTTGGAATTGCTTTGCATTAACTCTCTAGGAAGTTAGTTGGTTATTTTCTCTTCTCTATTTCATGTATTGTTCATTTTTTAATATATTTATTACATTATAGTGTTTTTTTTTATTTCTTTGTGATATAACTATCGATCCATGCTTTTATCCGTACATATTCTTTCTAAATTTACTAGCTTCTTTTGAAGTTATATCTATTAGTGTTCTTATTTAATGATTAAGCTTCAAAAACAAAAATAAAACAATTTAAAAATAAAAAGTTTTTATTCTGAGATTATAAAATAAACTATACACATAAGCTATTAAAAACAAAGAAACTAAATTTATTTGTTATAGGAATAAAATTTGTCGACAATTATAAATCCAATAACGGTCATATTTTGTTTACCTTTCTAGAATTTTGAAGGATAATACCATTAGTTTTTCTATATATTTTACTAAGTAGTTAGATATTGTGGTTTTTAAAAAGTTTAACAATTTATTGTGATGTGTTAATCTATTTATATGTTAGCTATTTATCATTTTTGTCAAAGGAGTTTTTAAAACGTGGCTTAACATATTATAAAACATGAAGGAAACAAATGACATTTTAATTCATTTGACAAATTTGCAAATAAACATAAAATATGAACAAAAAATGATTTTTCATTGTATGCCAATCAGAAACAACTTAAATACTTTTTATTGTCAGTGAATTGCAAAGATACAAATAGGCACAACTTTATTTGTTTAAATAGTGGGAAAACTCCTAAATCACACACTTAATTGGTTTAATGATTCATTTGTGTGTTATTTGGAATATCACGTATTTCCATAATCGCCATGAAGACTTCACCGCATTCCATAAAGAAACGCATCATCTCATTCCTCTGTAAAGAAATAAATCGCCACTACAAAACTATTCGTTGAAACGTATTTTTTGAAATGTCATGTTATCGAAAGGAAACCGGTTTTAAAAAAAATATTATATAACACCAAAAAACTCATAGGCGAAAGAAAACTATTTGCCTAAAAGAACAAATCGTCTCAAGAAACTAATTACCGACCGCCGCAACTGCTTTGCATGGGTCACAAGGTTAAAGATTTTCGAAGATATGGTCAAACTGATGATTTTTCTGCATTCAAGCTATTTGCACTCTCATTGACAATTATCGATGAGCTTGTGAAATTGTATATTTCAAATTATTTGTGGCTCCTTTTTTATAGCAATTAGTTTTTTTTATTTTATTTCAACCTCCTCCTTTAACCTGTTGCTCTGTTTAATTAGTTTTGGTTAAATTGACATTTTTTTTAACGAATTGTAATTTCCAATATACTAAATCTAACATATATTTAGATGACACAATTTTTTTTGAACGATTACATTTTAACATAAACAATAAATTATGAAATGTGGTTAATTATAGCACGAAATGATTTTTTATTTAGTTAGTAATTAATCTTTTACCAATTACGTTTATAAATTGTTGTATTAGTAAGAAAATGTATATTAATAAGTGACTAAATTTATTTGGGATAACAATACTTCAATAAAAATACTCATTACAACATGATTATGTCTTCATTCATTATTTTGTTGATTTCTTCTCGAAACATTTAAAATTTTTAGTTTTATCAAATTGATTAACAAAAAATCAATAATTAAAAATACATACATAAAAGATTTTCTCGGTTATGTTTTTCAATCCTAAAAGAAACAAGAAAATGGTATGGTATCCAACACATGAGTACGGTTCGTAGATTTTTCGCATTCGTATATTTTTAGCACATCCATTATCGTATGTTGCAATTTCGTTAATCATCTGTTTGTCACTTATTTGCATGGATATCACGATATTGCATATAAACTGTTCACATAATCCCCCATGCAAATTGTAATCATTGAAACAAAAATATTCGCCAAAATAAAACTAATAGCTCCGATTCGGCTGCATGGCCTAGAAGTGTAAAGTAAATGGGTGTAGAAACTAATTTATGAAAAACTATTTGCACCCGTCGCTTGGCGCGGGTAAACGGCTAGTATATATATATATATATATATATATATATATATATATATATATATATATATATATATATATATATATCCACGAACTTTACGATACCAGACCTGCTCACAACTGGATTACCTTCCCAAGGCTTCCATGAGCATACTACACATGTTAGTGTGATATTTTGTTTTAGTCGAAGTTTTATTGGCACTTTTAAGTTTTGTTTAAAAATAATTATGTTTTTGTATACAAAATTAAAAATTTGGTTTATTTTATTATTACTTGCACTTATTTGAAGTTTGATCTCACTTCAAACTAAGGAGGAACTCATATGACATCTATTTTGATTTATAAAAAAACCACACATTCATGTTTAATCTATTTCGTTTAATAATACTTGTATATGAGAACATTGATGGGTTTAGTTATGTAAATTGTGATGAAGATCGCTTTGATCCTATACTTTTATAATTAGTGAACGAGATTGTTTAAGGATATCAGTGTTATGATAAGGTATATATTAACGCACTTATATGGTCATAGATACGTTTAGATATTCGTGGTCCAGTATGAGATTGTTGGATATTTTGGGACCACTAATAGATGTATATAAATAATGTTATAATTAATTTCATATTTATTATGGAAATTATTTAAAATTATTGATGGACCAAGTTTATTACTAAATAAAGATAAACATTTACCATGTTTATCTTATGGGTTTAGTTCTCGGTTTGACTCAAGATCTCCTAAATCTCCATCTATACAAACACGTGATGAGAAGCAAATCAAACACATGAAAACTTGAACATAATTTAATTAGGGTTCCCTGAGGGATTTTGGAGAGAGTTTTATGATCAACTGAAAAAAAATCAACCTTACTCATTAGACTCATGGATGAGCTATTGATCGGCTGTTGAAGTAACGATGTGGTAGAGCAGTGAGAATGGTGTAATTCACATAAAGATAAGTATACGGTGCCTGTCATGCTCTACATAATAAAGAGAGATGGATCTGTGCAACTCTATTGGAAGTCGATACAGGTGGCATGTTGAGAAAAACGATGATTATATGCACCAGGAGCTTGTTTTAGTCCATATAGAGATTTCTATACGAGAAAAACATGATTAGAGAAAGAAGAGTCACAAAAACTAGGAGGTTGGTGCATGTATACTGTCTCCTGAAGGTGACCATGATGGAAGGCATTCTTCACATCAAATTGATGAATATGCCACTGCTAGAAACTGCAAGACTGAGAATAGTGCGGACGGTTGTTGGTTTTACAACCAGGCTGAAAGTCTCAATTAAATCCACTCCTTGTTGTTGGCTGCGTCCATTTTCTACAAGTCTAGAATTT